GGGCCAATCAAATTTTCTTTTTTGTGTGATATGATCGACGAAAATCATTACCAATTATACGAATGTCCACCATGCTCCTGATGTCACATGAAATCATAAAAAATTTTGCATCCATAAGAATTTTAATGTACAGAGATTAGTTTTCTTGCCAAAAATATTTCAAGGGGGTGAAAGTCAAAACTAGTTTCGACTTATGGTGGTGAAACCTTTTAACTTTTGAAACTCTCTAGCTTTGGAACAAGGATACAAAAAATATTTATTCAAAATGTTTATAAAGTACTTAGAATCAAATAATTAACAAGTGTAGTAATTAACTAATAAATATAAGGGTTTAATGCTTATTACAGTCATAGTTTGGCGAATAGAAGGTATTGATCAGTTTAATTTTTGATGTTAGTGTATGTATCATTTCTTCGTGACATATAGAATTAGCATTCCAGTTATCTTTTGACTGATCCAAAAATTAAGAACACGAGACTTAAGATCAATGACAATATCACAGAAAGGTATGGTAACTGCAAGGTTGAGCAGGAGTTGTTAATGGATTTGTCTGATAATGCCTTGTTTGTCAAGGTTTCATATTTAGAGTGTGAGAAATAACTAAAGGAATTTATAATTCTCTCAACATCTATCTTGTTTGAATCATTTACTTTGTTTAGAAGCTCACGAAAAACATTGATCATTTCTATACGAGTCTTGGAAAATGCAATGTTGACATCTTCAAAAGCTAGATATTGTATTACTGGATCTTCATACACTAAATCTTTTCCTAAATTCCCACCTCTTATTAAGGCCCCTTTGGCTCTGTTAATTGGTGTAGAAAGAAATCACAGGTTAGTCACACTATTAATAATTTTTTTGAAATCACCGAGTATTAATTTAACTTCTACACATATTGATTGTTGAACAACTTCTTCCAAGCTATTAAGATATTCATCTTTATTAAGGAAATTTGTGAAAATTTGTGCCTCAAAAACATGGTCAGCTTGATACAAGCTGCCATCGATTTTGCCTTCTGAATCTCTGATTTTGTCTATGGTCACTTGTTCCATTTCATTATTGGAATTAAGCCTATATGCAAAGGGTGCTTCTTCCACAGTTTTTCAATAACTTTTACTATCATCCTTGAGTTTCTCAGAATTTAAACAAAAACACTTATTACATAGGTAAACTCGATAAGTCGGATTTGGCCTAACTCGGACAAAAATTTCCAGCCCTTTTTTTTTATATT